ATACAGCCATTTTACAAACCTGTTTCTACCTTTAGTCAAAGGAGGTATGGGATGGATGAGCCTCAGCTTTCCCTGTTTCCTACATCTAGCCCCTGGGTCCTAGAGGAGAGCATTGACCATAGTGAGCCTTGATTCCTCCCCTGTATTGGTTGCCAGTGAAAGTTCACCCAGCTAGATTTGGGGGGCCTGAGCTCATCGTATCTGGAATGGACAGGCTGGAGATAAAACATGGGAATGGTTGCTTTCAGATAAGGTGACAGTGATGTGGACAAGAGTGGTGAGATGAAGGAATTTCCCAGGAGGCTGCACAGGAATTGGAAGGTGTTGCAGCTGTGTCCCTGAACCCCAAAGGAAATTCTGTGCTAGAATCCAGCACTGAGCCCCTTTGGATCAAACTGGTGGAGTGGCGGGAGAAAGAGGGTACTGAGAGAGACAGCTAGGCAGGGCCTGTACTCTGCCCTATCCTGGTCTAAGGCCTGCATCTCTCTTAAGTTCCTTTCTTTGACTCAGGCTGGTTCCAGGTAGCCTGGGGTGAGAATGCTCAGAGAGGATAGGCAGGGTAACTTTGGCCCAGATCTTTTAACTGACTATTGCTTGGTAAAACTTCAAAGGCAGATAATGGCTCAAGGGGATGAAAGGTATTGCGAGTCCAAGGGCATGGAGAAACCAGCCTCGCCCTAGCTACTGGCTCCTTCCTTTAGCATGTTGATCCCCCAAAGTGGGAGCCCTGGGTGCTAAAAATGTCCCCCAGCCCAGCCCAGCTGCCTGGTCCATTCAGTGACAGGCAGTCCTGGAATGGGAGGGTTCGGGCTGTGGCCTGGCCTTCTAACTCCTTACCACCTTTAGTTAAAACTTGCCTGGTGGGAGGGGTGAGGAGAAATAGCAGGGAGCAGAGCACCTTCAGTCCCCTATGGCAACTGACGGAGAATTAATCGCCTTTTGGAACACAATTGTTAAACTAGGACAGAGGGAGTGCAAGCAGAAGGAGCAAGTATCAATGGTTTTAAACGGCGTCTGTCTCTCTGCGTCTCTCCTGACGTGAGGCAGTGAAACGCGTTATTGAGGAGGCCCGGAAAGTGGCTAAGTGCGTTTGACACACGCCAACTCCCTGCCTCCACACTGGATAATTGCATTGTCAACTGTTCAGCGAGGTGGCAGGTGACACTGCAGGCCGATTGATTGTCCCGCATCGCCGCTCCCCAGACTGTCAGCTCCCCAATCGATGGCGTTTACACAAGACACCGTAACTGCATCTGTAACTAATTCCAGTGTAAAACTCTCTGGAAGCTGCTGCCCCTACAGCCTCTGACCCCCCTCCCCACCCCTGCCTTTGGACAGCCCATGCCACTGGAGGGCCCCAAGACTTTACCTTTCTCCCTGGGCTTAGTTTTGTTGGGAGCAGCAGGTGAGGAAATCAATTGCTCCTGTTTTGCGGTTTCAGGTTCCAGGACTCTAGTGCCCCCAATAAATGGGCATCTCCAGTTTCTCAATCGATCACCTGATCAATTGATTGAATTAACACTGACTTTTTTTCCCTTCTCCATGACCCAGGAAGAAATGAGTTTATGAGACAGGGGTCGTTTTTACACAATTCAGACTTGCTTATCATTTCTGCACTTACCCTCTCCCTCTCTATTGTGAAGTGTTCTCTGGGGGTGGGGGGTGAGGATGGATGGACTTTCTTTCACTGCCCACCTTCCCAGGCCTAGGTGTCATTGATCATCAGGCTTAGTTTGCCTGTGTGGGGCCAAGCTCCAGCAAGGGGGCCTCCCTGGTGACTAAAGAGCACTGTGGGTCATCTTGGAGGTCTGGGAGCGTCGAGTCCCTTCCCCAGATAGCAGCAGGAGTGGCAGCTTGCCTGTCACCCCGGGAGCTATGCTGAACAGGAGCCAGAGGCTTGGAAAGGCGCTCTCTGTGCCATCTTGCTTCTGACTACTGGCTTGGGATGTTCCAGCAGCTGAGAACATAAAATGACTGTGGAGCCTTCCTCTCAGCAGAAGGGGGGGGGGGCAAGCTGGCGGGGCACTGTCTGTATAAAATGGCTTTATGGCTGTTTCTTTTTATTATGATTCTGCCAGAAGTCAGCAAGTGACATTTCATTAAGAAAATAAAGTTTAATGTGCTGGGAAGGAGGTTGGAGCAGGCTGGGGCAGCACCAGAGTGAAATTGGCAGCAGCGGCCTATTCTGAACACCTATGGGGATAGGGAGGGGTTCCCAACATCTGTTCCCTGGGGCTGGGGTCAGGGTCAAAATAAACCACTTGGACCAGAGACAGAGAAGCCTTTTCCATGGCAAGCAAGATGTGTACTGCTCTCTGTCCTGCCCAACTGGTCAGAGGATCAGAAGGTCACTGTCCGCTGGAGTCTAATAGGGAAGGTTGTGTCCGGAGAGGTTTCTCCAGGCCACCAGCTAATCAGGCTTCAGCCTGCTTCTGGCACAGGGCTCACAGAACGTAACAAAATCACACCATTAGCTTGTAGCCATTACTGCTGGGGTGTGCTGTATGGCATCTGCTGTAGACCTGGCCAGCTCTGTGCTGGGTGATACTAAAATGATAGCAGTTGAGTCAGACTTGGGCTTTCAATCTGGTGAGGGGCAATGACAATATGTGGTAATAAGTTTCAGTGTGGAGTTGCACAGGAGTCTGGGAAAACACTAAGGAAGGGACATGTATGTAGAAATACCTGAGGAAATCTCACCCACCCTCAGTGCTTTGAGGGTAGGTATCAGGTCTTGAAACTCTGTCCTGGAGACAAAGTGAGGCAGAGGAAGATCTCAGTGAAGGTTGAAAGAGTGTCACTGAAATGAGAGTTCATTCAGGAATTATTTCTAGAGCAACTACTTCGTAGGCACTAGGAGAAGGCATGGATGAGCAAGTCAGACTTGGTGAGTGAGCAGGCATTTGTTGTGTAGACCAGAAGAGAAAAGGTTCTAGGCAAAGATAACAGGAGGTATGAAGGTATGGGGAGCATGAGAAAACATGTAGGATTTGGGAAAACCAAAAGAGCTATGCTCCACTGAAGTATGACTCCAGGCTGCAGAGCTGCTATATGTCTTGAGAAGCTGGGACTCTTCCTGGCAGCTTTGGGGCGTCCTGTTTTCTCGGCTTTGCCATAGGATCTTTGCTTTCCTTTTTGCCCACCCACAGTGCAGAACTGGGCTGAGCCGAGGATGTGAGGCTGACTGCCAAGCTGCATATACTTGGGGGTGGGGGAGTGTTGACAGGGCTCGGGGGGCACAGGCTGTAAGTGAACGTGATAGCTACATTCTGATTGATGGCAGAGTTTGTCTCCCAAACTGTCAGAGGGTTTATAGAGGTGCCACTCACCCACAGGCAAGAATTGCTTGTCAGGACACCTGGCTGGGAACAGGAGACAGAGCTGTAACTTGGTGTTTTCCAACCTAATGGCCCTGCTGGTGACCTGCCTGCTGCCTCGAGTGTGTTGGTGCCTCAGTGTGGAGGACAAATGAGACCTGTCAGGGGGGTGGAGCAGAGGCAGTTCCTGGTCTCTCCCTCCTGCTGCTTAACCTCTGGGATTGGAGGAACCTTTCTGAGACCAGAAACCAGATACGTGCAAGGAAAAAGAGGATCAGGAAGAAAATGTTTTTGAAATGGGCTTAGAAGATGGAGAATATTCCAGATGGAGTGAACAGCATGAGCAAAGGTCTTAGGAGCAGGACATGCAGGTTATGTCTGAAGTGCAAGAGTCAGTCCATATGCACTGGGCCTATGGAGTGAAGTGAGGGAAAGAGTGGAGGAAGTAGGTCCATCCGGATGTTGATAAGAGCTGGCCAAGGAGCCTAGACTTGATTGTGCATGCCGTGGGAAGCCATAGATGGTTTTGAGCAGGAAAAGAAGGGTCGGTAGGGTGAAGGAACAGACATGAGGCTTGAGGACCCATGCCAAGACTTAACTCTAATGAGTGGAAGAAATGGACAAGAAGAAATTTCTGAGATCATTAGGCAGAACCCTGAGCTGCTGCTTCTCCTCTGTCATGATTTCCTTGCTGAAATCTACTCACCACAGATTCCACTACCTTCATTTCTCTGTGTTCTGGCAGGACTGCTGTGCTGGCTAGTGAGATGTGGTCTGAGACCACTGGGTGAAGTCAGGGGCAGGGAGGGAGAAGCAGTTTTGTGGCCCCTGACCCTAGGCTCTTAGGAAGGGTGGTCTAGAAGTCAGACCACATGGCAGATGAGTGGGCCTAATGTGGCTTTAGCACCTCACCCCTCCTCATTGGCCAAGAGTCTGTCTTTGGCTGGTCCAAATGCACCTGTGTGGGGTCAGCTGCCTGTCAGCCCTGTGGCCCTACCTCCACCCAGCCTGCTTGTCCTTATAGACTGCTTTGAGAAGCAGGTGTGCATGTCTGTCCTCTCTTGTCTGTGCCTTCATAATCCTTTTATAACTGTACTTGTCCAGGAATCTGGGCTGAGTGAGGTAGAGATGAATAATTAATGTCAGGCGCTTCAGACACCAAATATTTGAACAGCTGCTTGCTGTTTTTACTGGCAAGGACCTAGCGGCCAAAATCAGGACGTTGGCTAGGGGTCTTGCTCTACAGCTCTGACTGGCCTTAGCCAGCCTGTTCTCCCCTCTGATGGCTTTGTCAGGCTGGACCAGGCTGCCCAGGTGGGGGTAGCTTTGTAGACCTGAATTTCTCTGTCCTTTTCCTATTCTTCCCAGACCTGGAAGACATGTGAACAGTAGGCCTAGACTGGTATCTCCTGAGGACCTAACATAGTGTATAAATGGGCTAGTTTATGAGCAGAGATCACTTGGAGCAGCAGGCAGTAGCAGAGAAGGGTGAGGTATAAAGAATAACAGGGGATGAAATATCAAAGCCAAGAGTACCTAAGTATCTGACTCTCAATTTTTCAGGCCCACATTTCCATCTGGGCCTTACCTGGCGCACAACCTGATCCCTACCTAGAGGCAACAGAAGGGGCACTCTTGGCTTAGTCTTATTGGCCCTGACGCTCACATCCCTGCTTCCCACAGGCTCTGGCTTCGTCATGTGCAGCGGCAAAGAGAATCCGGACAGTGATGCTGATTTGGATGTGGATGGGGATGACACTCTGGAGTATGGGAAGCCACAGTATCCTTGGGGCACTGTGGGACAAGGTGGGGCTGGTGGGACAGGACAAAGGGGATCAGAAAGTAGCTAGTACCTCTACTCACCCACACCATCCACCTGCTCACCCCCCTCACTAGGGTGAGTGTCTCAGCTTTGGCCAGAGGGAGCCTTCTTGAGGGCTCAACCCTCATGGCCTACTGCAAACTGGAATCTATTGTCCTTAACCACCATGCCAGATACACGGAGGCTGACATCATCCCGTGCACAGGCGAGGAGCCTGGTGAAGCCAAGGAGAGAGAGGCCCTCCGGGGCGCAGTCCTAAAGCAAGTGTGGGCACAGGCTTGGGCGGGTGGGACAGAGGAATGGGAAGCCCCGAAGCTGGGGTCAACCCAATACCCACCCTCAGGGCTGTCCTGTCTGCCTTCAGGCCTCACGTTCTTTGTCCTCCTTTTCCCTAGTGGCGGCCCCCCCAGCACACGCATCACACCTGAGTTCTCTAAATGGGCCAGTGATGGTAAGTCTGGACCCAGTTCAAGAGTAATGAGGGAGAGGGGACATCCCTTGGGTACTGGTGCTAACTCAAGCCCAACCCCTCACCTGTGCTGCCCAGTCTGGCCAGAGCATGAGTTGCCTCTCTGTCTTAGCAGAGATGCCATCTACCAGCAATGGTGAGAGCAGCAAGCAGGAGGCCATGCAGAAGACCTGCAAGAATAGCGACATCGAAAAGTGAGTGTTTGGCCAGGAGGGAGGCCCCTGGCTCATCAGTTTAGTGGAAGGGAAAGGGGCCCTTTGCTAGCAGGAAGGCCTGCTGCCAGGGCTCCTAGCCCTCCCAAATGCAGCTTAAGTCCTGCAGCCCTGGGCACACACTAGCAGTGTGGCCCAGCTGGTGCTAAGCGTGAATCTGTGAATTGATCACTGGGCCACTGCCCCAGGAGCTTTGGTGGAAGGCGGAACAGTCCGCCTGTTTGCCTGCCCGCTGCGGCAGCCTCTGCCCGGGGAATGTGATGTATGGCCACCCAGCCCAGCCAGCACACTTGATTCATCTCCAGTTTCTGTTTCTTAATCGGGAGCTAAATTGGTTTCATTTTTCTTGTCCCGGGTGGCGCTTGCAGTGGGTTTAGGCAGGAGCATCAGGTCTCATCACATCTAGTAGGAATTTTTGGCCTGGGTTCTTTGGCAGGGGAAAGTGGGATCCATTAGCACTTTACCCAGAGCTGGGCAGCCCCTCACCTGGATCCCCAGGAGCCACAAGGATGTGAAATCAACTGAGCACCTTACTGCCTTTCCAGAAGCCCAAGGAAGACTGGTTCTCGCCCCAGGAGGTAGCATCGTCCAGGTTGGGCTGCCTGGAGCCGCTGCTGTTGGCCATTGCTTAACTCCCCACACCCACCCTTCCCTCCACTGGAGGCTAGGTTGCTGGGGTTAAAAGGCAGCCTCTTCATTCCAGGGCCAGCGTTCCATCTTGCTTTCTGCCAGGAGAGTGGATTGCAGGCCAGTGCAGGGCTGGGTCGGTGGCCCAGGGTCACCTCCCATTTGTTTCCCTCCATTTTGTGTTGTCATAAATTCATTCCAGCCCGTTGTGGTTGATCAGTTTATCTCGGCCGGGGCCGCGAGTGCTGCTGGCATGATGTATGGGCCGCAGCTCAGGGCCCGGCTGCCCATGAATCACCGCAGCTGCTCCGTGTCAGCGCTGGAGCGGGCCGCACGGGTTCGGCGCAACCAGCTTGGGGTGGGGGAGAGGAATGACGTATGGATGTTTATTTAATAATTCTCTCCTACTCCAGCTGAGCAGGGCGGGCGGGGCCATAAGGAGCACCCACCCTCATCTGGAGGGGCTGCTCATAAATCAGAAAGACAAGATCATTAATCAGGGATGGCGCCCGAGGAATAGGTGGGGGCCTGAGCCAGTGGCCATCCATGAAGGTACTACCTACCCAGGACTGGGGAATTTGGGATTTCTGTCCCACCTGTGTGAGCATAGGCACCAGCAGGCGGGGCTCTCTGGAAAGAGCTGGGGACTAGTTCAGTCATGTGCAGAGATCTCCACTGGGTCTGGATCTACCAAAATTGGCACCCTTCAGTTCCTGTGACTTCTTTCTTACTCAAAAACAATATGGGTTCCTTTCTTAGAGCTTTTTCACAACTCAGGGAAGGAGGAAGACAATGCCATGGCTTCTTCCAAGACATTGTCCACCTCATGTCCTGGAAGGGCTCAGAAATAGCTCACAACCAGCCTGGGTCGGGCTGGAAGGTAGGTATTTCACCAGAGCAAACATGAGAGGTCAGAGAGGTGCTGAGCAAATCCAGGGTAGGGTGGCCTCTGAAGTTTGTTGTGGCCTTGGAGCTTTTGGAGAGGGAGTGGGAAATGGCTTCATTCTCCTGGCTCCATCCCTTTTGCTTTTCTAGCTCTAGTTCATTCTCTGATTTGGGGTTTGAGAGTTTTCTCTGGGGTAGCCTCGGCTCCAGGCCTTAGTTCCCAGTATTTGAAAAAACCACATGGGACCAGCAAATGCCCAGCTTGGTCCTTGGAGAGAAAGGGAGCACAGCTACCCATCCTTGACTCCTTGTCAGGAATTTGCCAGCAATCCAGATGGAGATGGCACATATGGATGGCACTGGGCAGAATGCCAAGGGAGGAGCCAGCTGTGCAGGTGCTTGTGAGGAAGGAGGGGTTGGTGAAGGTTCCCAGGCCTGGAAAGTTGAATGAACGCTCCCAGGGAGTCAGCCAGTGTTAGAAGGAGCTGGAGTCAGAGCCTTGTGCAGCTTCCCTGTGGAGAGAGGCAGGGCAGAGAGAACCATGGACTTGGGGTGATGATGGATCTGGAACATCCCTAATACACGGAACACAGCCATCAGCAAGTCACCTATGTTGCTGCTAGCGCCCTGAAACAGGAAGGTCAGAGATCAGAGTTTGCTGCCCATGGAGTATTACCCACCATCTCCCTGCACCCTCCATTACTCCTTAGACCCAGAAGGGACAGACCACTGCTAAGCTTTCAGGTTTTCTTGGGCTGACTTGACAGCCCTAAACCTCAGCTCTTACCTCTCCCAACATCCTCAACAACTTCCCGCTACCTGTAAAAAACTTCCCTTTCCAGTTGTGGCATCTGAGGTCTTGGTTACAATCTCTGTTCCCAGTTTGGCACCTTCTGCTTACCCGTGGATGAGCCTTCCAGCCAGATGGGACTCTGGGACCTCTTGGCCTTTGTTCCTACCATTCCCTTGGCTTGGAGACCCGTCTCCTCCTGGGCACAGCCACTGTAGAGCAATGGTCACTCACACAGTTACTGGTTGATCAGAGTTAGCCTGCCAGGGTTTGAAGCCCGTCACACCCTGCTCTCTGTGAACCTGGGACAAGCTACGTAACATTTCTGTGCTGCTTTTGGTTCTTATGTAAAAGAGGAATATTAGATCTCTGTGTGGGTTTTGTCAGGTGTAAATAAGGTAATAATTTTCAATCCCTCAGTACAATCTTTGGCATTTAGTAAGTGCTTAATAAATTTTAGCTCCTTTATTCATATCATCATCATCATTATTCCCCAATGCCTATCCCCAGTACCGTCTTCCTACTCCTCTGGGAAGCATTCTTCTGAGCGCCTCGAGGTTCTCCCTTGTTATAGAAGGGGTAGGAGGGATCACTGGAGATGGCCCTGGCTATTCCTTGTTCACTATAGCAGCCCAGAGAGTCGCCAAGAAGTTCTAAGGATCTTCTTGTGCAGGGCCTGGACAACAGGTGAGGACTTCCAGGGCATCTGATGTGCCTAGGAAGAAACAAGGAGCCCTTGAGGTAGGCCAGGCCTGTAGCCCAGGGACCTAGATTAAGTGGGACTCGTTCAGTCCCTGCATCTCCCGCTCCTCCTGGGGGTTGGGCTGGCTCTTTATTTAGCAAATGTTTACTCATCTGTACATGCCTAATGTGGGACTGATGTCCATAGTCAGTGCTGGTGGAGTAAGCAGCTTGCCTGCAGGGAACTTCATTTAGCAGAGGGGACCAAGACATGTGCAGTTCCACTGCTGTGGTGGAGCCCAGTACCGGGTGCGGGAGGAGCACAGAAGAGGCAGCCATCAATGCCAGTGCTGGCTGGAGGGTGGAAAGGGCTTTGGGGAGGAGGTGGGGACTAGGCCTGAAAGATGAGCTGGAACTAGTGAGTTAGGAGGTGGGTGTGACCCAGAGGAAACAAAGTGCCCAGAGGCCACAGTAACAAGAAGGGTGGTAGGTGTGGAGAAACTTGTGGCTTGGTGTGGATGGAGCAGGCGGCACCTAGGGATGCTGCTGGCTGGGGCTCGACTGAAGAAGCCCTTGTGAGGCTGTGAGTTCTAGTAGAGCTTCGCTGTGAGAGAGACTTGGAAATGCTGGGAGTAGATATGGTCAAATTTGCAGAATTCTAGTGCTGGGAGAGTGGGATGGAATGAGGGTACTGGGGGCAGAGAGGCCTTTCAGGTTAGTGGAGTAACCCATAGAAGAAACCAAAACCTGGGCTAGCTGGTGGTGGTAGAGGTGGAAAGAAATGGAGAGAGTCCAGAGATATTAGGAACTAGATGACAGATTTTGATGTCACGTGGGAAGGAAGGTTTTTAGAATGACGGTGGTTTGAGAATGGCTTATAGGTAACCTGGTTCAGAAACCCACCAGGATGGAGGTGGAGGAACAAGGAGGGTGAGTTCAGGTCTGGAATGTGGAGTTTACAGATGCAGGATAGGAGCAGGTGCAGAGTGGGGATGGATGGGAAACATGATGTGGCTCTGGAATTCAAGAGAAGTGTGGGCTGGAGGTTCACATTAAGGATTACCCCCTGCTACCCGCCCAGCTATGCCACCCTTTTTACAGAATCACCGAAGATTCAGCTGTGACCACATTTGAGGCCCTGAAGGCTCGGGTCAGGGAACTTGAACGGCAGCTATCCCGTGGGGACCGTTACAAATGCCTCATCTGCATGGTGAGAGAAAGGAACATAGGGGTACCCTTGGTCAGGCTTCAGTGCCCTCTGGGGGGTAGGAGAGGGTCTCTCTGTTGTGATTGGATTTCTTAGAGGGTGGGCCAGCCTCAGTGTGACCCCCTCTCTGCCCACCTCCTCCCTAGGACTCATACTCGATGCCCCTAACGTCCATCCAGTGTTGGCATGTGCACTGTGAGGAGTGCTGGCTGCGGACCCTGGTGAGGTGGCATGGGGTTCTCAGAGTGGGTGGCTGTTTGGGGTACTGCCCAGATGTCCATGCTTATGCTTGAGCCTGCTTGGGGAAGGGGGAGCAGGAGCTTAGAACACAGCTAGAAGCCAGGATGTTCACCCCCTAAGCTCACTCACTGCATTCTCGCCTCCACCAACCCAGCTGTATTAAATTCTCCCTTTCAGTGGATTCACTGCCTGCTCCCCTCCCCCTATCCTTCCTCCCCTCAGAAGGTCCATGTATCACACATACTGGTGAGACCCAGGTCAGGAGGAGGCTGGATGTGGGTAAGCAGGACCAGGGCCTCAGCCCCTCCCCCTCCCATTACCAAGCTCCTGCCCCTGTTCTTCACTGGGAGCAGCCATTAAAATGTCGCCCGGAGACAGCAATAAAAGGCCCGGACGTGGGCTCTGTGTCCTGATCAAAGGCCGCGTGTAATCTTGTTAGGGCCGCGGCAGCCACAGCTGGACCCAGCCTTGTTCTCATTACCGGGGCTCCCGCTGCGGGGCTGGCCAGGCGGTTTGATCCTGGCGTCCGCCCAACACAGGAGTCTGCCAGCCTGCCTGCTCACAAGGCCGCCTGTGCATCCCCAGCCTGGGTTGACAGGACCAAGGTCTCAGCACACAGCTGGTGCAGGGAGACAAGTTTCAGGGCCAGGTGTTCACAAGCACAAATGTGCAGTATGGTGTGTATAACCAAAGCCCTCCCTATGCTTCCTGCAGGGTGCCAAGAAGCTCTGTCCTCAGTGCAACACCATCACAGCGCCTGGAGACCTTCGGAGAATCTACTTGTGAGCTGGCCACCCCAGGCAGGCCTTTCCTCGAGCAGCTCCACCTGCCCACCTCTGTGATGTGACCTTCCCCCTTGTACATACTTGCACACAGATTCCCCGTGTACATACATAGCGTACACACACAAACATACACATACACACACACAGGACTCTGGAGCCACAGTGGAGGCTGAGGCCCAGGCCCTGCCTGCTGGCTACCACCGAGACTAGGGCCCAGACCTATTCCAGGTTCTGCTCCCAGTGTGGGCAGAGGTGGAGGTTGGGGGAGTGGTGGGGCAAGGCTCCTGAGATCTAGCCCCCAGACTGACCAACGGACAGACAAACATGCAAACACCAGACTGAAGCACATGTAATATAGACCGTATATGTTTACAATGTTGTGTATAAATGGGACTCCTCACCCTTCACCCTTCACCCTGTTCCCTCCCCTTTGGTTGTATGATTTTCTTTAGGAAGCAGTGCCTCCTCAGGGCTGGCTGGGGGCTCGGCCCATCCACCTCTTGGGGGGCCTGCCTCTCCCTCTCCCATGGTGTCCCTTCCCTCTCCCATGTGCTCGGTGTTTAGTGGTGTATATTTCTTCTCCCAGACAATGGGGCACATGCCCCAAGGGACATGATCCTCTCCTTAGTCTTAGCTCCTGGGGCTCTTTATAAGGAGATGGGGGAGGAGGGAGGTACAGGGAATGGGAACCGAGCTGAAGCAGAGGCTGAGGTTGGGGCTGGAGGATGGTGCTCCTGGCTGCCCAGCCTTCCGCCAAGAACCATTCCTGGGATTACAGCTGCTGCTCCCAGGGAAAAGTGACTTCCTTTGCCCCTCCCGTGGGCCCCATGGTGTGATGCTGTGTCTGTATATTCTATACAAAGGTACTTGTCCTTTCCCTTTGTAAACTACATTTGACATGGATTAAACCAATATAAACAGCTGCTGCCTGTGTATGTGTGTAGGGAGGGATGGTCATGGGGTGGTGTGGACAGAGGCAGTTAAGGGGTTAATTCCTGGCAGCAATGGGAAAAGGACTTGGCTAGAGTGTGTAAAGCTGGGCAGGGTTGGTCTATTCAGCAGCCCTGGAGCACTCGGTCAGGGGTTGGGGGTGGGCTGGAGACCTGGACTCTTGACTATTGATGGGTAGGGGCTCCAGGTTAATTCCTTATTGATGGAGAATCGTCAGCTCATTAATCACAGAAGAGGTCAGAGCTTGGGGGTACAGAGGGGATGCAAGCTTTATCCCCCAATGTAGGGCAGGAACAGCTATAAGCTTGTGTGAAAACAAGCCCCATGCCTCTTCTAGTCCCCTGGAACAAGCCAGGAACCACAGAGAACCTGCATCACAGCCCCCTGTGGCTTTTTTCTCTTCATCCCAGTGACAACAGCCCAGTAAAGCTACTGCCAGGATCCTCAGGAGAAACCATTGTTATCCAAGATGGACCCTCAAGTTGGGGAACTGAGGCTGGGCAACTAGCACTGAAGATGGCACTTAGTCAAATCCCCACACCTGTCCACAGCCAGTGAGTGAGCAGCATCCGGTGCTCCGCGGCCACCTGAAGCAGAGGAGTCCTCGCCCACCACAGCTCTTATGAGAAAGTAAGACCCCAGACCATCTCCATGACTCTAGACACCTTTCCTTTACATATTCTCATGCACCAGACCCACCACCATCTTCCCAAGTCCCCTGCTTTAGATAGACCTGTCTCCTCTGGGAGCCCACAGTGCACACAACAGAATGGGCTTCAGCCTCTTTCTGTACCCAGATGATAAATCACCCTGGTTGGAGCCCTGTAAAGGCTGTTCACAACCCCATGCCCAGCTTGATGGCACCAAATAGCCCCTAGGGACCCAAATTCTAGGCAATGTGTGTGGCCTATCAAGGCAAAGCAGCCAGTGACGGCTGCAGGTTTGGAAGAGGTGGATAATGCCCAGTTCCCATCAGGCTGGCTCCTTTCAGGTTTCAACTCTACCCACTCCCTGACTTGGACTCAGGTCCTTGAAGGCTGGTTACTCCCACCCTAGGAGCTACATGCTAGCAGGGGACAGTAACCCAGAGGGCTTGAAGCCCACCTTGCCACGGGATCCTCAGACTCCTCATGGCACAGGCAGCACTGCCACCTGTCAGCCATGGTTGGGAATGCAGCCATGCAGCATAGCAGTTGGTACACCAGTCCCAGAGGTCCCAGCAGTCCCAGAGAGCTGACGTGACACAGATGAAGCTCAGCTCTGGAGACAGGGCCCATCAGCCCTAGGAATACCAGGAGTCGGTTTCCAGCCAGAGCTACTCCAGGCATCTCCTTCACTGCCTGTCAAACTTTCAAATACCAGCCCTGTCCCCCAAGTCCCTTGATCACAGTAAACTCATTCAATCAAGATATTAATTGAACACCTACTGTGTGCCAGCATTATGCAGCAGTAACTTGGAGAATGATAAACAATACAAAACACTAAGGTTGAAGTCACCTCCCTGCCTAGAGAGGATCCAACTGGGTCTCAAGGAGATGGAGTTTGTTGTTTCGGCTAAATGGCCCTTGCCCTGGTTCTGGTCTTCAGGGCTCTTGCCTGTTTGTGCCACTATCTTCCTGCCCTCTGCTCTGTCTGGACATCACACACACACCTGGCAACACTCCTGGATGCAGCGGCTTCCTGGCAAAGTGTGGTGCACCTGGACACATCTGCATCTTCAGCTCCCCATCTGGCTTCTGCCTCAGACTCCCTGGCAGTGAGGTCAGAGAAGCCTCTGAGTAACTGCTAAGTGGGACCCATGGGGATGGTGTTTCACACTGTGGGGCTTTGCCCTTCTGGGGCCTTGCAGCAGAGATCACAAGCCCTGCACCAGCCTGACCCCACTTTCTGGCACCTCTCCACAAAACTCACCTTCCTTTTAAGGAATCAAAGCTCAACTCTGGGCTCATCGTCAACCTCCTCCCCCAGCCTTATTAACCCCATGCAGCCTAGTATCACAGGAATCAGTAGCCTAGCTGTTCCACTTGTCCAAACCCAACCACTTCAAGGCTCCAGCACAGACATGCCCAAACACTCCTGCCCCCTAGGATCCTAGGATAAGCAGACCACAACAGTCCCAGCACAGTGGCCCACAAGAACTCTCTACTGGGGGACCACAAAGTCCAAAGGGCCATAGGGAGTTGAACCAGAAGAGGACCCCGCCCACGGATGTAGGTTGTAGAAAGGGGTTAGGCATTTCTTTCTGGAGCAGAGGTGAGGTGGGTGGGGCAAGGACCTCAGCAATGGACACAACTGTGCATGAAGTTGATACAGAGGCTCGTGTAGTAAGTAGGATAGTCACGGAGGTGGCTCACGTGTGCAGATGACACAAAGTCCACAGAACGCACCAGGACCCGGCGTGCCAGACGTGCCTCCACCATGCGCTCCACATCCCTGGCCAAAACCACCTCATCAGCCCTGGAGTAGAGGTAGAGTTCAGGCCAGCAGGAGGCTGCATCAAGCAGCCGACTGTAGAAGTGGGTGTGGAAAAGGGCGGTGAGCGGAGCAAGCAGGACGTGGAACAGAACTGCCACCAGGGCGAAGGCCACCAGAAGCAGCAGGCGCAGCACAGCAGGCCGATGCTCCAGGATGGCTGCCAGGGCTCGCAGAGCTCCCGCCAGGTTACTGTCTCCAGGCCCGCTGTCAAAGATGGTGCCTACCACATGCAGGTGACAGAAGCGCTGATGGGTCTGCAGGAGCTCCAGCACGTATCGGTACAGCATGGCTCCAGCGTTGCTGAAGACATGGAAGAGCAGGGGCTCCTTCTCAACCTCATAATCAAAGAGTAGCTCAAGTAGCTTCTGGGCCAAAACACGAAGTGAAGGGATGCCCAGGGACTCGGAGAAGAAGACCATGTGCCAGGGCGCTGTGTATCGAATCACGATGCAGCCCTGGGGAGAGGAGAGAGGCCTGGTCGGTCCTCAGGGGAGGGGTGAGAGAGGGGGTACAGGTTCAGGTCACAGCAGCTCCAACTTGCAGGTGCCTAAGTCCAACAGTGCTCCAGGCCCTGCTGCAGCCTGGGTGCCTGCTCACCACTCACAGACACAGGTGCCTTCCAGAGTGGAAGGCACCTGCAAGACCCATTTTTGGAATAATGCTAGCCCAGCCACTCAGCCTGGGACGGTAGGTGAGGCCAAATGTCTCGCTTTGGAGACATCCAGGCTGTCCAGAAGGAGGTCCCCTGCCTGTCTCCCAGCCCCCACCTTGTACCCTCATCTGCTCTATTCTGGCACATTTACAGCCTGCTATAGTGACTCTGCTCTGCACTGTCTACCTCCCAGGCACACAGAGGTAACCCCGTAAAACCCAGCACCCAAGACACAGCCTGCAGGCTCCAGGCTTGACCACCAGAGGCCACTCGTGAACCAGGCCTGCCTCCTGTCGATCTCTGGCTACTGCCACCTTCCCAAAGGTTCCTGAGAGCAGAGTCTGTACTCCAGGGCTAGGCATCCAAATGTGGTTCCAAGGCCTGGGATCACTCTTCCCATTCGCTCTGAAATTCCAAATACAGTAAATACTGTTGTTATCAAATTCTCAAATCTGAGCCACTCTCTCAACTAAGCACCTCAATGCCTGAGCCAAGGATGCCTCAAAGTCTCTAGACAGATCCCCTTCTAGGCCAGTTAGAAAAGGCAGCCAAAGCCACCTGCTTGAGTCCTAATCCCTCCCATTAACCTGTTCCAGAGAAAAAGGTCTCTTTGTCAAGAGAATCTGGAGTCAGACAGGTCTGGATTGGGTCTGATTCCTGGCACCACTTATTACCAGTAGATGGAAGGCAATTTACTGCATCTTTCTGAGCCTGTGTCTCCACCTGTAAATTGGGATAATATCCATCTCATAGGGTTATGATGAAAATTAAATGAAAAAATGTATCTCAAGTGCCCAAAACAGCACCTGATACAAAATAAACTCTCAACTAATAGTAGCAGTAATACTGGCAGTAGACGTAGTAACAAGGAGGAAATTACCTGTGCGCAGGACTTGAATGACCCATAGCTCAGCTGAAGTAACCCTGCCATCAGCCCCCTGAATGTGTCCCCACTATGACTCCAATCTGACATCTGCCCAAACTCCTCCTGGTACTGCTTTCACCTAGACCCCAGCAGGCAGGCACCCCTCCCGGTACTCTGCAGAGGGATCACTGATGCCATCCTGCCCCACAGCTCTGCAAAACTTCAGCAAGTGGACTGTAATGGGGTTTGTGGGGGGGGACTTGGTGAAGTGGGGAGCCTAGTAAACATAATGTTCTTCATGTAATTGTAGATTAATGATTTTAAAAAAAAGGTTATGGGGTTGTGAAACCAATATAATATTGTATATAAACTTTATTTAAATAAAAAATGTTAAAAAAAAATTTCAGCAAGTGCTCTGTGAATGGGATGTGAAATATCTTCCCACCCAACCCAGTCCACACATACAATTGCACACAAATGCAAAAACACTCCCACATCTCATCTTCACACACACTCAACTCCCAAGACTAACCAACTCTCCACCTCACATCCCACAGATGCAAACACGCAAGTACCACTACCCCACCTGTGAGTGTACAAAAATGCCTGGCCACCAGAGCACCCACAAACACACCCACCTCTGGTGGGTGTAGCCCCACCCGCTGCACCAGCAGGAGTGCATGGACACTCCTCCCCAGGAGCACACACCTGTGAGAACCACCTGTCGGTGCAGATGTAAGCTCAGCAGTTCCTGTGCGATACCTGTGAGCACTGCGTGCCTCACCCCACTCACCCCACGTCACCCATGAGCACACACACTCCTTGCGAAGGGCACACACACACACCCTCCCTACGCCACGGGTCTGGGCCTCACTGGAGGTTTCCAAAGTACCTGGCTGCCACCTCCCTGATCAAGTGCTCCTAGAAGTCCCTGCACCAGAGCCCTGTGGTCTCGCCACGTGTCAGATCTCCATCTCCTCTCTCCCCTGAAGCCAACCATTCCCCATCTCCACATATGGCATGGCCTCAGGACAAGGCCCTGCTGTCAGTTCTGGCCTCCCTCTCCTATATTTTCAATCTCTTCCTGTCTCTAGATTCCTTCTCAAACTCATAAAAATTTTCTTAACAGCCTCTGTCTCTACACCATGTTCCCCTCTCACATTCTCCCACCCTCTCTTCACCTGCCTAGACCCATTTTGACACTGCTCCACCCTGTCCCTTCCCACTGACTCCACTCTGATGAGCATGCTGCTCCTGTCAAGGGCACCTGCATTCTCCCCACTGTCAGATCCCCTGATGCCTTCCCCTCATCCCCATCATACTTTCCTTCCAGCAGCATCCAGGATCACGCATTCCTAGACCCAGGCTCTTCAGTAAGTCAGCATCATGAAAATTAGGACTGTTGTAGATTTAAATAAGAGGCTTAAGGAACAAAATAGCTAGATGCAGTGGGTGATAATGGACTGAATCCTGGTTTGGGCAAGTCAGTTCTAAAGGACACTTTGGGGACAATTAGAGAACCTGAATATGGACCAGAATCCAGATGAGATGAAAACTTGTTAACATGGGAAGGTGGAGACCATGACGTGGGAGAAAGCAGGATACAAAAGTTATTCAGTAGATCTCATTTAGGTGAAGGAAGGACACACAAAAAAGCTGAAAGGATATACACCACTGTGGAAATAAGGTAACCTCTACGTGACAGAAGTGCTATTTCTGTTTTCTTTTAAATAGTAAAACATTAGGAGGTTGGGGTTGGAACACTTTTCCCCACACCCATCCTGTCCTGAGCAGAAGGTAAAGTGCCAGCTCCCTCTGCCGACCACCCCTCCACAAGCCCGGCCTCTTCAAGTCCCGGGCATTCCCTGGGATCACACACCCTCACTTTCTCCGCAGACCTTCTGCCGCCGTGACATCCTTCCTCTGGCTGCATTTCCCAGAGACTGTCTTCCTGCAGGTTCTGCCACACTCGGGGGTTTCCTTGTTACCCCCTGGGCACACCTCCTCTTCTCAAATGGCCCTCTTCATCTTCTGCTCCCCCAAGTGTGGGCATCTCTTTAGGCCCTCTCCTCCTTGCCCTCTACACACTCCCTGGGGAATCCCATCTACTCCAGGGCCTATGGCTTCTCTTCCAGTGTTCCTTGTCTCAAAAACCAACCCCCGCCACCCAGGAATTGCCAGAGCCAGAACCCTGGCATTTCCCTGGGCCCACCCCCATCTCTCATTAAGCTGCCATCCTGTCTGCTAACAAGCTCCTTGGATCCAACCACCACTTCCTTCCCACAGCCTGGTGGTGGGTCCTGGCCCCTCCCATCTTCTCCACACTCTGCAGGGAGGGGCTTTCAGAAGCACAAATCTAACATCATATCCCTGCTTAAAGCCCCTGGGGGCCTTCCTTGGCCTCATCTCTTGACACTTGCCCTTTCTTTCATTCTCTGTCCTAGACATGCTCATTGATTCCTATTCTTCCGCCTGCCCTCAATGACCTTAGTCTAACGGTGAAGCCAGATAAATAAGCCTAGCATGGCAAGTGAAATTCATAATTAGCTAAAACTACTTGCAGACTAAGGCAACGCCAGAGGACTTGGTTGGGAGAAGTCCCCAAGCCCAGAAGTATTTTCCCCCCACCCTTCCCCCATTGCAGGGCTACCTTCCACCTCAGGCACAGTGCAGACCTGGGTTAGAGGAGGGAGGCAGAGGCAGGGACAGGAAAGTTCCACTCTCCTCAGGCCAGGGCTTCCAGTTAGCAGCTGGAGCTGGCTGTCTCCCTGCTTTGGGACAGGGCTGAGACAGAAGCCAAAGATGTGAAAGGTGCTTCCAAACATATAACCATGTCCCGCTAAGACTCTCCAACTACCACAATCTCTATGTCCAATGGTTGGTGTGGCCTAAGAAGCAGCAGGAAAAGCTCAAGCCTGAACCTCTTTTCCAAGAGGCTTCTCTAGTCTTGGAATGCAAAGGTGCCATGGTCAACCCCAAGACAGAAACTCCCCTGGTCAGAAAAGGAGAAACTCCTGGAGCAGAGACTATGCTCAGCACACCCCGCACGGGCTCCTGCTGCCCAGACAGGCAGCATCCAGCCAACAGAGACTTGAGATCTGGACTGACCCACAGATGGGAGCACCTCAGGCCTGGGCTGCCCATTGTGAGGTTTGCAGACGAAGGAAGGGGAAGCTGGTCAGGGGCCTGAAGCGGACAGAGCCATAGAGCTGGCAGCAAAGGGGGGATCATCCTGCCAAAGTCTCCATGACCGCAGCGTCTTCCTCACAGGCCATTTCCAGGCCTGCCACATTGGTGTCAGCCTTCACTGCAGCCCAGAGATGAAGGCAGCCAAGACTCAGTGCGCTCTGCCCTGTAAGGCCCCAGCACGCCAGGCATGGCATGCCTGTAGTACTCACCCTTTTGTGGTAGATGGCGCTGTACTTGGCAAGGTTCTTGTCCATGCAGCCACCCCAGCCCAAGAGAATCACCAGAGGCTGTCGAGTCCCCGCCTCCTTCCCACCTTGGCTGGTGCCATTCTCTGAAACACAGATGTGGTGGGACTGTCAGCACCAGAGCTGGGATGCAAGGTGGGGATGGCGGGCCATTCCCGAGCCAGCACTTCGGCTGCGGGTCAGGAAGGGAACCAAGAGCGGGGTGCCAGGCCCAGGCATCCCGCCAGCCCTGTGCCTCAGGTTTCTCCAGGGCTCTCCTTCCTCTGTCTTCCTGCTTCAATGGCTTTTAGGCCTCTCAGGAGGCACTGCAGGGTCACTGGAAAAACCCCTATGAGGGCACCTTTGGTGACTCCAAGACATAGGCCAGGTGAAAAAAATGAGTATTTTCTCCATGCAACTTCACCTTCTAACCCAGGGGTCAGCAAACTACAAGCCAAGGGCCAAATCCAGCCTGAGGTCTGTTTCGTATGACCTATGAACTAAAAATAAAAATTGTTTTTACATTTTTACATGGTTTTAAAGTATCAGAAGAAGAATAGTATTTTGTGACACATGAAAAAAATATGAAATTTTAATTTGGGTGTCCACAAATAAAATGTTATTGTGATGCAGCCACATTCATTCATTTACTAAAATAGCAATTGAGTAGTTGCAACAGCGACCATATGGTTCACAAGCTTAAAATACTTATTAGCCCTTTAAAGAAAAAGTTTGCCAATCCTGTTCTAATTCCACAAGCATATGGAAGAAGAGGGTCTTAAAAGGACGGATGGAGAGGCAGTGTAAGCAGGGTGTGGAGCAGACTGACCCTGAGGGCCCATACCAAACCCACCCCATCCTGCCAGAGAATCACAACCAATATTTATTGAGGCTTAACCCTCAAACAACATGATGAGGAATTATTATTACAGATAAGGAAACTGAGGCACAGAAGGGTTAAGTTTCTTGCCTAAGGTCACACAGGAAGTATAGAGCTGGGAATTTGGCCTCTGCTCCCCACCCTAAGCCACTAGTGACCTTCTGTGCAGTCAGCCCTGTCCACAGTTAGAAGCATGTCTCCTTCATTGATGTTGCCGAGGCACAAGCCAACTGCCTCCTACATGGCTGCTTCTGAAGAGGCCTCTCCCACAACCTTGTTGGTCAGACCTCATCTCATTTCCCCTGCCAAGAGAGTACCCACCCGCTCAGGGAGCCTTCTGCGCAGACTGTCTGTTACTAGTTTATCTGCCCTCCCAAAAGGGCTGGGGTGTACCCTTGCAAGGATCAAGCCACTTGGCGGTGCTCAGCTGCCACCCTGAGATTTACGGATGCCAGTGGTGACCTGGCAACTGTAAATTTCAAGGCTAGTTAAGAGGATGGTAAATATAAATCACTAACCTTTGGACAAAAGGAAGACAACAATTTCCTGTGGAAATTAATGTGATTGAAAAGTTCAATGTTCCTGCTCTCCAGCAGTGGTGACTCTGGCCTTTGGAGATTAACTGCCCACCCCGGCGGGATCCCAGGCTGGGTTGCAGCTCAGCCTGGAGCAGGAGCTGCCGGCACCTCAGTCCCATGCTGATGCCTGCCAGCCCTTCCAGGCTCTGCGATGCTGGCCGCAGCCTCTGACAAGGGAGACAATCCCACGGTTCTGAGGCCACTCCGAATACTCTCACCACCTTTCTTCACCTGGTGTCCCTGTCCTCTGCCAGGGCAGCTCTTGGCCTGCACTGGCCTTTCGGGTAAAGAGGCCATATCTGGGCCTCACTAGGGCCCCAGCCCTGCTTTGCTGGGGATGACTACCCATGAGGCTCAGGTTGCAGCAGCCTCATGGGGTGATTACCAGCTACCATTTGGATCTGCCTTTGAATCTCTTAGATCCAAAGATCTAGATTAGCTTGATTTCTGAGACCTGCCCTAGGGAGGCTCCCTTACCTCAGCAGCAGTCTGAGCAAAGGGTCCCCTCGCCAGCCTCTGGGGTGGGGGGCCACTCCATGTGCCACCATCAAGCACCACCAAGGTGCTTTGGGGTTTACTTCAAATACAGAGAAAGCAGCCAAGGGAGGCCACATCCCCTGGTGGCTGCCCAAAGGTAAGGCCAGCCCCAACCATCAGTGACGGTGCATTCCCAGCCGGGAGGGTTCGAACAGCTTGCTGGATCCCTGACCTGCCCGTCCTCTCACGGCTAGGATTTACTACTCCATTTGCTCCACCACAGGCTGTACTGGCACCCTTGGCTTGGCGAACTCCTGTAGGAACGACTCTTCCCCAGACATGCACCTCCATGAAGAAACTCAGAATACAGACACTCTGAACACACTGCCTGCTCCCAGAGACCCAATTTTCCATGTTTCTAAAGGAAGGGAATCAATCCCCGCTCCCCATCCTAACTAAGCCACTTGTGACCTGTGCCACCAGCCCGTCTCTTTCAGTGATATGCTGAGGCACAAGCCAGCTGCCTCCTCCATGGCTGCTTTTCAAGAGGCCTCCCTGCAATCTTGTTAGTCAGATCTCATCTCATTTCCCCTGCCACTGACTCCACTCCAGCCAGGTCTTTCTCAGCCTGGCATCCCCCCATCCTCTGCCAGGGCAGTTTCTGGACTGCCCTGGCCTTTCTGGTATAAAGGCCATTCCACTCCTGCTAAGCACTCAAGGCTGCCCCCTAAGCCATGGCCACACTTCCTATCTGTGGGCATCTCCCACTCCTGCACATTCTCCTCCCAGTGCCCTGCTCCCTACGCCCATTCCTAACGTGGGACCTTAGTTATGGCCTCCTCCCACTGGAGCATGCTGCTCCTTGAAGTGCTCTAATCCAGAAAAGACCAAGGTGCTCTGGGAACATGGTTGAGAAAATTATGGTGACAGAGAAAGGCCTCCTGAAGGAAGATACATTTGCTCTGCTGGGCATGAAGGACCAGTAGGGGCATGCCAGGTGGAGAATGGGCATGAATGGGAGCTGCCAAAACTGGGGCTGGGGCTTGATCCTTCAGGGCCTTCCAGCCATGCTTAGGAGTTGGGATTTTATTCCATAGCAGTGGAGGGCAAATGAAGACTCTGGAATTGGAAGAGTGGTGTGATCCAGTCTGTACTGATTAATGACTTGAACAATTATTCACTTAATGTCTGTCTCTCCCCTTAGTCAGTAGGCTCTGTGAAGGCAGGAACTGGGTCTTCCAGGTGTCTCCCCATTCAGGAGCTCAGCAGAAACAGGCTGAATGAATGAATGCGGGTTTGCAAAGTGAAGGATGGATCCAAGGAGAAAGAGCTGGCGTTCTTCTTGTTACTCATTGCCCTTTCCAGGTAGCAAAAGTAATTGCCATGGCTATTGTTATTTATTACCCCGTCTGGATCATGATTACTCCACCTTCTATAAAAACCTCTGCTCCTTTTATACTCATTCAGCTGTCCAGACCACCCACTCCCCTCTGCCTGCTGATAACCCCATGCCTCTGGCCACTGCTCCTCAGGCACCGTACACTCTGGCTCAGCTCTCCCCTCCCGTGCTCCAAGACTTACCATGACCCCGCACAGGCAATCCAATCTACCTTGTTCCTAAACCTCACTAACCTCCCTGGATCTCACATATCATTCCGGCTCCTACCTCCCCCCTTTCCCAACGGCAAGAAAAACTGTAACAATAACAGCAAAAAGAACATTATATAGCAGGCAATATTCTAAGAACTTTATACATCAACTTATTTAATCTTCACAATAATCCTATGAACAAGGTAGTTATTCTTCTCATTTTACATGAAAAAGTAAGCCACAGAGATAGTAAATAACTTGCTCAAGGTTATACAACCAATAAGGAGTGAAGTTGGAATCCAAGTGCAAATGGCCTAGAGACTAGCTTGTAACAAAACCCAAGCACCGAGTCTTCTAAATTTCTATCACCTCAGCTCCAAACCTGTACATGACTGCCTCTGCACATCAACAGATCCAGTGCTGACCTCTTCCATCTGCTCCTCCTCAAGACCTGGCTAACCCAGCCAGAACCTCATACACTGCTTCTTTGGGTTCTAGGACATACGGGGTTTTGGCGGGGGGAAGGGGCTGGAGAGGGCATTACGGGGGCTTTCTGGAAGTGAATGATGAGCTGACTCAGCCAGTGGAGTGGGTCATCCTAGAAAAAAACTACATCCTAGAAGTAGCTACTATTGTTAGCTACTGCCCCCATTTAACAAATAAGAAAATTAAAACACAGAGAGGGGAAGTCCCTTTCCCCAAGAACACGCAGCCAAGAAGCAAGAAAGCCAATGTTCGTCTCTCTGGACCACCATACCACCCTGCCTCCCCCCCAGCCCAGCATGCAGGTGCTCTGTGTTTATGCTTTGCTAATGCCCACTCCACAGGCTAAGTCAGCTCATCATTCACTTCCAGAAAGCCCCTGTAATGCCCTCCCCAGCCCCTTTCCCCTCACAAAAAAAAAACCCTCAAATAATCAGACTGAGTTAGATGCCCCTCCTCTGTATTGTCATAGCAACCGCCATCACCATGCCACTATGCTCATCAGATTGAAACTGAAAGTGTCCATTAGGTACAGGTAGGAGGCTACTGCCACATGCAGAGCATGAGATGACAAAGGCCTGAACCAGAGCAGTAGTAGACAGGTAGAAAGAGGAAGGGAAATGACAGGAAGAAGAGTCACTATAGCTTTGGAACATGTATCAAAAGTCTCAAAAACATGCAGTCTTTGACTTAGTAATTCCACTTTTAACAAAGAAAAAATGTTTAATCATATGGAAATATTTAATAATATACTAACAGGTAATAGACATAAATGCAAGAGCTAAAACTACAGAACTCCTAGAAGAAAACACCGGGGTAAATCTTTGTGGCCTTGGATTAAGCAGTGGATTCTTGGACATGACAAAAAGTAGAAGGAATAAAAGAAAAAAACAGATAAATTAGGGCTTCACCATAATTAAAAACTATGTACTTCAAAGGACACCATCAAAAAAGTAAAAAAAGTCCCTCTCTCTGGGGGCAGCCATTTTCTCTTTCAGATAATAAAACCTCTTGCATGGGCCCGTGTCTCCTGAGTTGTTCTGGGGTTAGGAGGGTCGCAGCAAGATACCCTTTCATTGGTGCCATGACTTCAGATGAGGTTCTCCCATTGACTTTGCTCTTCCTCCAGGACTCTGTGCTCCTTTGGGAACCCTCACTGCCCGATCCTTGTCCACGGGCTCACCGTTCATTTCCCTGGTCACTCGTCTTCTCACCCAACACCAGCCTTCAATCTGCTACTGCTCTAGGGCTATCAGGGCCAATAACGAAACCAGCTAGATGCCACCGCGAATCATCTCAGGATGCCCACCCTTCTCCAACTCTACAGCAATGGCCTTGCTAATCCCAGAATCGGCGCCCCCTTCCAGCAGGAAGTAGCAAGAGAATGAGATTCTACACCCAGTTCCCCAGAGGCCCAATTAAGAAAAGGAAAAGATGGGAATGAAGGCAAATTCTGGCGTGCTAAAACCCCCACCCCTTAAGATCCAATCACCAACGACCAGATGGTCAGGCACCCCTTAAGATCCAATCACCATCAAAACCGAAAGTTTCTGTGATGACTGCCCTTGCACTGTTCACCATGTAAGAACTTATTCACTATGTAAGAACTTGTTCATGTAAAAACCTGTTCGTTATGCTTCAGAAGATTGGAGACTGTTGAGAATTAGGCATGGGGTTGATTAATGATTGTGCATTGAGTCCCCTATACAGAATTTTATTGAGATGCCCTCTCAAAAAAAAAAAAAAAAGATCCAATCACCAACGACCAGATGGTCGCGCACTCCTTAAGATCCAATCACCAACGCTGAACACATCATACCCCTACTCTTTAAAAATGTGCTTCCTCACCCACGAGCTGCTGCTCCCTCTCTCTGGGGGCAGCGATTTTCTCTTTCAGATAATAAAATCTCTTGCATGGGAAAAAAAGTAAAAAAAAAGCCAACCCAAGGAATGGGAGAGAATATTTGTAAACCATATATCTGGTAAGGAGCTTGTATCCAGGATATATAAAAACTCTTACAATTCAACAATAAAAAGACAAATAACCCAATTTTAAAATGGGCAAAGGATTTAAACAGACATTTCTCCAAAGAAAATATATGAATGGCCAATAAGCACATGAAAAGATGCTCAACATCACAGTCATTAGGGAAATGAAAATCAAAACCACAGTGAGATACCGTTTTATAGCCACCTGGATGGCAATAACCAAAAAGTCAAATGACAGCAAATGATGATAAGTATGTGGAGAAATCAGAACCTTCAGATACTGCTGGGGTGAATGTAGAAAGGTACAGCCACTGTGAAAAGGGTTTGGCGGTTCCTCAAAGAAATTAAGCATTGTGTTACCATATGACCCAGCACTTCCACTCCTAGGTACATACCCAAGAGAAGTGAAACCATATGTCCACACAGAAACCTGTACACAAATGTTCATATTATTATTATGAAACATTACTTGTAATAACCAAAATAGAAACGATCCAAATGCATATGCCCTGTAAATGGATAAACAAAATACAGTATATGAAATACTATTTGGTCATGAAAAGGAATGAAGTACTGACACATGCTACAACATGGATGAACCTTGAGAACATACGCTAAATGAAAGAAGCGAGCCACAAAAGACCATATATTATATGATTCCATTTAGATGAAATGTCCAGAATAGGTAAATCCATACGACAGAAAATAGATCAGTGGTTGCCAGGAGGTAGAGGGAGGGGAGAATGGGGAGTGACCACTAATGGGTACAGAGTTTCTTTTGAGATGATGAAAATGTTCTGGAATTAGTGGTAATGGTTGCACAATTCCATGGACATACTGAAGACCAACGAACTGTACAATTTAAAAGGGTGAACTTTATGGTATATGAATTATATATACCTCAATAATGCTACTATTTTTAAAACTAACAGTAATACATTAAACTGAAAATGCAAGCTGAAAAGCAGTATGTACAAAATACGTACATATATATACATACACACACGTTTATGCACAGAAACAATACATCAAATGTTAATAGCAACATTTCTAGGACTAGAGGCAATTGTTTTTCATGATATTTTTTACCCATCTTCTACAATCAATATGAATTGCTTTTACAATGAGATTAAGATGTTATTTTTTTAAAAGGGGGTGGGGAGGTGTGTCCAGCAGAGTCAAAAGCAGTAGAGAAATCAAAGAGGTCGTGGATGCCCAGAAGTCCCTTGGCAAGGTGGAAGTACTCTTTTCAACCTGGTACGTCTTGAGCACCCCCATGAACAATTTAATCTCATGGACTCCTTGTCTTCTAGAATTTCTCAACAAAACAACACTGACACCAATAATATTAAGAGTTACAGATGTGTATATGTCAGCTCAAGTCATAAAACTAATGCATAAATTAGACTGTGTACATCCCACGGCCATATGGAGAAGACAATGGAAAGGGCTTGTCTGTGGCACAATACATGCTTTTTATCTGTAAGCTGGAATCAAAATACAAAGAGCATACGTTTTCTTTTTAAATGTGAAGAATAAAAGGATCCTCACTTTACTCCCCAGAAATATTTTTCTAGAGTCTCACAGTTCCTAAAATAAAGTGAATTACTTTATTTTAAAATGACATTTTTTTTTAACTTGTTGAAATAACAGCATAGGAGAGCAGCACAGTATCTAAGATATGTATAAAACTGTATCTGGGTTCAAATCTCTGGTTCTGCCGGTACTATGAAACAAACCTTGAGCAGATTCTCTAAGCTTCAATTTTCTTATCTGTGAAATGGGGATAATAATACAGAGGATTAAATAAGCCAATGACTGTAGAGAGCTTACCATGGCACAAAGAAAGTTCAATAAACCGAACTTGTTATTAATACTTCATGAGGAATGCATGCTCACTGCAGAAAAGGGGAAAATGAGTATCTCATAAAACTGGAATCAGATTGTTTTGTAATCTTTCTTCCATTTAGCAATATATTGTGAACATCTCTCCCTGTCAGCTTATATATTTCTACTCCATTCCTTTTAGTGGCTGTAGAGCAGCTACAGAAATTTCATAATTTATGGTGACCCATCTCCCATTATTGGACATGGTGTTGTTTCCAATTTTTTGCTGTCATAAAAATACTTCAGTAGACACCTTTTCTTTGTGCATGTCCTTACTTGTTTCCTAGAAATGGAAAACTGTATCCAAGCAACATTTCCTAATGGCAACTGAAATTCACATGCACAAGTGGCTCCCCAGCAGAAATGTGTGATGACCTGGGGCATGATACTTCACCTCCCCCCAGCTTCTGTTCCTCATCTGCAAAACAGGATAAGGGTCCTCCCTACTTCACCAGGTGGTCGTGAGAGAGGGTCCTGCCACACTTGGCATGTAAGAAGGGCTTGGTCGGAATGGGCAACAGGGTAGTGCAACAGAAACCCCAGAGACCTCAGAGAAAGGAGGCCCATAAAGGGTCCATCAGGTCTGGATCTCAAATCCAGGGCCTAGCACAGTACCTGGCACAGAGCAGACAAATTAGAAAGGGTTTTTATTAATGCATGAAAGAGATCATGAATCAAAAATAAATGAAATGCCTCTGTTTTTTTAAAAAAGTGCCTTTGGGGGTCCCCGTAGTCAAGGAGAGGATCAAGGCTCAACTCACTTTTCCCCTGGACCTCTGAAGTCTCAGGTGTGACAGCTCTTGAGGTTTTCACCTCATCCCCCTGCTCCTAAAAGCATGTCATAGCCTCCTGCCAGGGCCTTGCTCCCTTGGGTCACTCTCCTTCCTCCCCAGAGCCTTTATTTCTGCACTTACCCACCTGTCACTCCTCCTGAAGCTTTAGGTCCAGCTTGGGCCACTCTTCTCCAGGAAGCTGCCCTGACACTGTAGCCCACCATGGTGGTCCAGACCACTCTGGGATGTTTCGCAGATGCCAGTGAAAGCTCCCCGAGGGTTAAGATGCTGTGTATACTTCTGTGGCCCGGGCCACTGCTTACCAAAAGAGAAGGCTCACAGTAAAGCCTGGGTTCACAATAAACCTATCACTTCCCCTCTCTGTGAGCCCCAGAAGGCCCTCTTTGTACTCTAAGAGCAAGCCCCTTGTCCCAGCCCAATCAGTTCTGTGAATCAATCATTCCTGGAAATGTCTACTGAACATGAGAGCAACATGGTGCCTTTAAGAAGGCCTGCTGGCAAACAGCAGAAAGGCCCTGGAGCAGGACCCAGCTGACCATTCCCTGGCTGCGCGGAGGGGCAGCACAGCCAGGGCCTGGAATATCGGAGCAGCTCTGGCTGGGGCCCACGGTGCTGCCCACTGACTTCATTCAGCTCACTTGGCACCTCACCCTTGCCAGGCCCTGGCAACAGTGAGCGAAGCCGTCAAAAGCACTACAGGGACAGGGGTCCTGCTGCAAGAGCCCTGAAAACAGAACCTTCCCCAAGGAAATGAAATGGGAGCAAGATATTAAGAGGGGGAGGTGATCACTGGGCAGAGCAGAGTAGGTGGGTTGAGGGGAGATTTCAGGTCCAGGGATCAGCTTGAGCAAAGAACCAGGCCAACTACCCTGGCATGGGCTTCCACAGATTCTAGCTGGTGGGATTCCTGGCAGAAGGATCCTGGGCTGAACAGCCTGGATCCTGGAAGACCCCAGATCTGCAGCTTCCTCCCAGCTAACTGATGGGCCAGCAATAACTGCTCACCTGTCAGCTCACAGCAGTGCTATCAGCTCACAGCAGTGCTGGGTTCTGTAGTTCTGATGCTCAAATATGGGGGGAAAGCAATTCCAGAAACCAAGTATCACTGCCCTACACACCTCTCCACCATTAAACAGCAAGTGCAAGAGAAGAGACAAGCTTCTTCAAAGCTGTCACCGGGAGAAGCCATATCCTCCTGAAGGGAAGCTCTCTGCAAATGGAAAGCAAATGAACTCAGGGGATCACAGTTTTGTCACCTCCTTCTGAGGGGTCCTACAACCTCTAGCTCAGCTCTGGGGTATGCATTTTGAGAGGGAAAGTGCATGATGAACTAAAGCCAGTTCAGAGGAGCAATCAGGAGGAGGAGGTTATCAGAAGGACATCACATCAGAGGACAGACAGCTAAAGGCCTGAGGTATTTTTCTTGGAGAAGAGAGATTTGAGGAAGGCAGGAAACCATCCTCTTGGAGAGAAAGAAAGACTACCTTGCCCCATGTTGTACCCACCATGATCTTGAAGCCCTGCAGTTACATATCACCGTGAAACCACCTGCTTATAAACCACCACCCCTCCCCAAAGCCACAGCTCCCTGGAGCCTGTGCATGAGTCATTTGAGGCACTGGCAACTAACAGGTGGCCAGGACATGGCTGAACTGAAAGCAGAAATGGCAGGAAGGCCTATTGTGGCTCAAGAAAGGGAAGTGCTTTCTAACAATCTCAGCTGCCTTCAACAGGCCAGGATGTTTGGAGGAAGCATCCTGTCAGAGAAGGGTCTGGTAGCAACAGAATGTCCTCATGCCAGTAAAAGTATGCAGAACAAAATGGTCCCCTGAGATTTCTTCCAATTCCAGGACCTAGCTTCCTCAGTGAAGGGAGCCACAAGCAGAGGAAATGCACCCACAACATGCCAGGCACAAACATCAAGTCACTACCTTGCTGACCCTCACAATCCCAAACAGAAGGCCCTATTATATTTCCCATTTTACAGCAGAGGAATCTGAGACTCAGAGAGGCTTAATAACTTGCCAGAGTCATAGAACCAGTAGACGTGGAGCTGAAATGCTAACCAAGACCAGCAGTCTGCCCACCTGGGCTGCGGGAGAACTTCTGCCCCACTGGCCACACAGAAGACAGCTCCTGCTCTTGGCCGCTGAAGGTCTCCAAGGGCAACAATATTAACTGGCTTCATCTCCTGCCAATGGCAAAACTTTTCAAAAGCATTTTTACATCTCTAAGTCCAATAGCCCTAAGCCAAAAGATCCAGCACTAGGGAAATGCAGCTGGTCTAGAACCATCTGTTCTGTGGGAGCCTACGGGCTGCCCTCCCCTCTTAACCCCAACCAAGGAACATAAGATGCTTTGGGAGAGATCTGGGAAGGCTCTCCTGAAGGAGGCAACATCCGAGCTAAGCCTTAAATAATAAACCAGACAAGCCAGGGGGCAGTGTGGGGCCGCAGAGGGGAAAGGGTATTCCAGACACAGGAAAACAGCAGGAGCAAAGGCAGAGAAGCAAGAAGTGTGTGGAGAATCACAGCATTTTGGGTGCCAGAATATAAAACTGAAACTGAACAGCGGAAGGACATAGTAATCAAAGAGATAAGCAGGGGCTTATAAATTATGGAGAATTTTGAATGCCACGTTAAGGAATCTGGGCTTGATTTATCCTGAGGGCAATAAGAAGCCACTGAAATAAAAAAATAAAATAAAATAAAATAAAATAAGGAGCCACTTGAGGGTTTAAGCAAAGTGTGGTAAGATCAAACCTCTGCATTAGGAAGATCGCTTGCAGCAACCTGAGAGGCGGAGCTGGGGCAATGTGACGGGAGGCATAAAGGTGATGGGGGTAAGGTGATGGGGAGTAATGCGGGGGAGAGACATGCTGGGCTCAGGCTGCTGTGTTATTCAGGGATCCTCTATCATAATTCCAAAACCGGGCCAAACTTCCCATTCCCTGAACCCCCACCAATCCTACTCACACTGCCAACTGAGCAGGGGAAGCAGCAAGGGAGCGAGGCTCGGACAAAGCGCGCGCTCGGGGCGGGACCTACAAGGGGGCGGGGCTCTCAGGGCCCGACGTAGTATGGGACCTGCGAGACCCTTGAGGGGGCGGGGCCGAGAGGGGCGGAGCCACAGCTGCGTTTGCGAACCACAGACTCGTTAGGTCACCTTCCCACGGCTGGACCGAACCCCGTTCCATACCCTGGCTCCGGCAGAGCTGATCCGGGATCTCGATGGTGTAATCCAGTTCAGCCGAGGCCATGGTGAAGGTCCCGGCCCTCGGCACAGGCCTCCACCGGAACTCCTGCTCGCGCGCCCGCGCCTCTCCCGGCACCTCCTGGGCACCGCCCAATCACCACCCTCCCCCAGCGCTGCCCTATCCCTGAGCTGCGCTCCGTGACCTCTGGCCCTAGCAACCACCGAGCCTCTCGGGCCTCTCGCAGCACCCCACTAGCGGGAGCCCTAGCAACTGTGCCCCGCCCCACTCTGGCCCTGACCCGCATCCATTGGCTGACTGGCTTAATCTAAGTCAGGTATTGGTCAGCCTGTAGCCGTTCAGAAAGAGTGCCCACCCTCCTGTGTAGGTAAGAGGGTCTGAGAGTAGCGGTGTTCTGGCAATGGGGAGGGTACTTCTTCCCAACCGTCGCTTATCCAAACGGGTGGACTGCAGTGCTCTTTGAATTACGTCTAACTACCTCTACCAGCCGCTCCTCCGAGGGCTGGAGGTAGAAAACCGTATGAAACGGCCTTAGGGGGTGCGTGTCAGCCCATCCACCCAGGAAGTCGAGGCACTTCCTCACTGGTGGGAAGAGCGGGAAGCAGAGGGTGGTGGTGTCTTCAGGGGAAGGTTAGAGATGGCCCTGTTCGTGAAAGATACAAAGGGGCTAGAGAGCACGGTTTTGTTGCATTTATCCATGCATTTAACATTTACTGAGCACCTATTATGTAAGTGGACTATAGTGAGGGTTAAGCTTGTGGCCCAGATTTCCACAAGCCTTAAAAGGAGAGGGAGAGAAACTATGCATGATCCAGCTCCAATTCTGTGCGAGGAATAAATACTGCAGAAGAGTTAGGCCCTAAGGATTTTAGAAGCGCAGAAAGTGTTGAAGGAGTATTTATGGCAGTGGGGATGGCTCTTGAGCGGGACCAAGAAAAGCTTGTGGAGATATGGAGGGAAAAGAAGTCTTTGCGGGAGCTCAAAGAGGGTGAACTGAGTGGTGAATGTCAGAAATTAAGAGTATATGGCCAGAGGAGATACTAATGGAGTAACCCTGAAGAACAGTTAGGCCCAGATCCCGGAGGGTCGTTGGTGCCAAGCTCAGCTTTGAGCTTATAGGTAGATCTTACTGATGGTAAAAATTCTCCAATGCACTTTACAGTGAGCACAAGAGCTTAGACTTTATCCTCAGGGCAGTGGGGAGGCATTGCAGGGCTTTAAAGCAAAGGAGTAACAATCAGATTTGTTTTAGAAAGATCAATGCAGAGAATGGGTTGCAAATTGGGAGGAGGAGACCAATCAGGAAGCTTCAGTAAGAGGGAAGGATTACTGTGGCCCGAACAATAGAGAGGTAATAGGAATGAAGAGGAAGGGGGTGGATTCCTGAGACGCTTAGAACTAAAAAGAACTGAACTTGGTGCCTGGTTGTGCAAGGAGGAGAAATGAAGGATGCCTTTTAAGTTCCTGGCTTGACAAACAGAAAGAAGAGGAAGAAGGGTTTTAGGAGAGGGTAAGTTCTGGGCCTGGTGAGTGTGAGGTGCCAGTGGGACTTGCAAGTGGAGGTGTTCAGGAGTTGCATATGCGTGACTGGCCTTTGTAAGATAAGTCTAAACTGGCATTAAAAGTGTGGTAGTCTGTAGTGCCTTACAGTTGGCAGCCACACCACTGGGTTGATTCGTTGGGCTTCCCAGAGAGTATATGTTATGTACGAAGAGAAGAGGGCGTCAGACAGAGCCCTGAGAACCACTCAAGTCAGAGGGTCTGGCAAAAGACAATGAACCTGCAAAGGTAATTGAGTTGAAGTGCCCAGAATGGTAAGATAATCAGTCATAGAATGTGGTGTTTCAGAAGCCAAGGGAAGAAAGTTTCGAAGGCTGACTAATTACATAAAATAAGATCTAAAAAACCCCACTGGATTTAGAAACGAGGATGTCGGTGACCTTTGCAAATGCAGTTTCAGTGGGGTGATGGGAGCAGAAGTCAAATTACAGCGAGTTAAGAACTGAGTGGGAAGGCGAGGAAGTGAGGACTGCGTGTACAGGACACTTTCAAGAAGTTGGCTCTTTAGGAGAAAAAAGAGCAATACGTAGGAGACAGGTTTTTATTCAGATGGGAGAAATGCTGTTGGCATTGATCACCTAAAGGGAAAAATAAAATTATAGAGAAAAAGAAACAGCCTCAAAAAAAAAAAAGTAACATGTCAGGGGATCCAAAGCATTCGTGGAAAAATTCACTTGGAAAGGTAGGGGGAACATTTGCAATGTGACAAATAGGAAGCATGTGAGATCAGTACATTCATAGGTTTGATGGCAAGAAGTTGAAGGAATTCTTTTTTGTGTTTGTTTTGGGAGTGCAAATATCCACATTTTTCTAAACTTATTTTTGTATTGAGGTGCATACAATTCACAGATCTTAGTGTACAACTCAATGAATTTTGAGATGTGCCTACACTCATAACTATCACTCAGGAGGGAATTCTAGTTTGATGATTTCTGTTTCCTCTGTGAAATGGGGACATGATGTCAGCCAGAGAGAGTGAGATTGGACATGCCAAATTGGAGAAGAGCAGAGAAAGACTGAAAACAGCTGCAATGGAAAATGGGCAGCATACCAAATTCTGGGCAGTTATGAGGCCTGTTGAGGTTGGTGACTATAGGTTTGTAGCAGTAGCAGTCTGCATGGTTGTGTGATGGGTATATTTCCCCCAACAATATTCAGCCGTCAAATGGTGGGTGCAGAGAGGTTAGTTGAACTGATCCAGGTTTGGGTTTTATCAGGCTGATGAAATGGAAGGACAAAGGACAAGGAAATTGAGAATCCTGGCAAAAAGTTGAGATGATGGGTCTTAGACCCTAAACTGTATAGGAAAGTATAAAGGTGTTATGGGTAGGGGGTCCCAATGAAGTCAGAGAACCATATCTTGGAGAGCTTAATGAGAGAGTTGTGATCAGCAAGTGGAGTAATGAAGCTTGAGTAGTTCCAGGTGATGCTTAGGTCTGGGGTGTGGCTATGAGAGTGCATGGCTAAAGTAGAGTCCAGAAAAGACACCCAAAATGTTGACATGGCCATTGAAATGCCTCTGGATTATGGCAGGACTAGAGGGAAAAGGGAAGAGAATGTTGTGAGCTAGATACCAAAGTCCTTGATGAATGAAGTAGGTTTCCTGGCATCTGTAGATGTCAACATGAGGAATAAAGGTCAGCACAGCTGAATGGCATGACCCTCAAAGTAGCAAGGATTTTCCCAAAATGAGATGGAATAAGGAACTAGGTTGGGCTTTCCTGAGGATACACCAACTCTGAGCTCCTTGGGGTGTAAGGGTGTATGCAGCCCCCACCAGGGAGGGCTTGCAGAGGTGGTGCTCCAGGGTGGAGACAGCTTTCAGGCAGTTGGAGGTAGACAGAGCAATGGTGGGGAAGCTATGGATGGAGGAGACTGCTGTCAGAAACAAAAGCTTTTGGCAACAGAATAAGAAGGTTGGGAAGGTGTGGGGAAAATTGAAGTTCCTATGGCCAGGATCCTCACCTGAATTTAAACTACTTGATGATGTAACTGGCCTACTACTATGCTAATGCCTCCACACCCATAGGCAATGAGCTATTATTTACTGAGTCACTATATAAAGAGCTTCTGCCCAGTGCTCTGGGTGGAGGCAGAGGCGGAGGAGTACAGACCTGCAGACTGTTGGATGCAGAGGTAATTCCAGTGCTCCACCTATCTCCAGGAGAGCAGAGTAATAAACCCTTTTACCTCAAGAACATTCCATTGTCATTTCTCAGTCTCACTGAATCCGTAGTGAGCTTGCCCAGGGCTGAAACCCATTCACAAGATAGAAGGGAAAGAAGGGTAGGAAATCAGGTCAAGGAAGATGAAGCATTGAGCAATGAAGGGATGAGGAGAATGTGAGTAGAGAAATTATGGTTGACCTCAAGTTACATTTTGTGGGGAGAGCATGAGAGTAGGTTCTGGGGAGTGGAGTAGGGGGCAGAAGTGAGTCTGGTGAGAGGAAAAGTGGGGTGTGTTGGTAGAGAATGAGGGTAGATCTGGGGAGAGAATTAAGGCGGGATTTTTGGCAAGAAGAAGATGGGGAAAAGATGGTCTATGGGGAGAAGATGGAAGGGAAGGCGACTGTGAGGAAAAGATGGGACGGACGGAGTCTGTAGGCAAGGAGTCTGTGAAAAGGGTTTGAGTGGGAAGCAGAAGGAAGGAGGTCTGTGCGAAGGAAGTGACAAACTGTAGAGCATATGCCCTGAGGTAGAAGTAAAGGTGAGGACACCCTCTTTGGCCTTCCAGGTTTGGAAGGAGAATATGTCTCTCTCTCTCTGCCTCTCTGTCTCTGTTCTCTCTCCTTTCCTCCCTCTCTCTGAATGGGCAGCTGAGAGTGAGGAATCAGGATGGGAACCAAGAAGGCCTCTGTCCCGTTCCTGCAGGTGGAGCCTGCAGGAACAGGAGACATTGATGGCCTTGTTGTCTCTGAGGCCATGTGGGGACAGTGAGCCAGGCAGGCAACCCAAGCCCTGGAGGCTTCTTGCTTTTAGAAATGTGCCTTTTCCCCCTCTGAGAAATTATATTTAGAAACAAGAGCTAGTGACCTCTGATTCTTAATAGCTCTTCTCCCTTGCTGCTAAGGGCGTTTGGCTTAGCAAGAGCTAAGGTTTTTGAGATTTTGTGATTTTAGTTTCTCTGCATGAAGAACCATTTGGCTGCTATAGAAATGATTTATGGATGAGTCCAGATTTATTAATCACCTCTGAAAATAGAGAGGAAATTAAAAACAGAGAGTCCACTCTGGGCTGAAGATAAAGTAGATTTGTTGTCCTTGCAGAGGGCCTTGCCAAGGTTAGAAGGCCACAAACAAACCAATTTGGACCAAGGTTTCCAATCTGGATTTTAATTTCATGTGCCTTGATTTCTCAGACCGTTTTCTCTCCAAGGTGAAATAATGATTTTTAATTGGCTGCCACTTACAGAGAGATTCCAGGAAGCATGATGGCAAACATATATTTTTCTCTGGCATTTCGTGTGTGCTCCAGTTCTTATGATCAAGCTGGTAAAGCTGACTTTTATTGCACGCTGCATGCCATGATCGGTTGACTATAAATTAAATCCTCTTTTCCAAAAGCCATTTTCCATTAGTGCTAATTTGTTTGCTTCTCATTTCCACTGATCATTAGAGTCTCTGGTTGTGAGCACCAAATTGGAAATAATTTCTTTGACATTTCAAAAAATTTTCTCCCCTTCTTGAATGCCATTTGGCTATAGCTAAAGAACATTATGGTTTGCAGAGGAACAGTTCACTTCAATTACAATTTAACTGACCGTTCATGGCACTGATTCCATCCTTAGTGCCCAAAGATGACACGGCTG